TCCCACGGAAGACTCGTTCATCCCCTCAACAAGTGCCTGTGGAGGCCCGACTCTGTGCTCAGCATCCTTCCAGGCCCAGGGAACATGCAGAGAAGGGGGTCTGGGCGGCCTTGCTCTCCTGCTGCCAGTGCGGGTACAAGTGAGGAGGGCAGGAATGGACCAGGATCGTAGACACGGAATAAAACCAGACCTGCCTCTTGTGCCAGCTTACAGGAAGGCAGAGGAGGCAGGGTGCAAGGGGGAGACAGAGAATGAGGGAAATGAGGGAAATCGGGAGCATCTTCCAGTAAAACCTACATGAGAGAACTCCCAAGGAGTGACCTGGGCACGGGACATCATTCCTGAAGGAAGGCCAGGAACAAGAGGAAATCCAAGGGGAAGGAAGAGTATCCTAAGGAGTAGACAAAGGTCCTGAGGTGGGTTGAGAAGCAAAGTGACACCAGAGTGATTTCGTCCTTAGGTGTGAGCTGGGGCGGGAGGACGGATAACTGCTCCTTCCCTGACAGGAATGACAGGAACAGGATGGAGAGGCTCTGTTGAGAGCAACTTCCTCAAGGAGATTAGAGGAACAATGGTTGATGCCAGGGGAAGGGCATGGTATATCCGCCGTACATTTCCTTCCACTCTAACATTTTCAAAAGGTTTGGAGCCAGAGAGAAGATGTTGAAGAGGAAGGCCCCACCCTGAGGATCTTGTGATCCTTCTAAGGTATTAATTGGAATTTCCACCCAAGAGGGCCGGGAACTGGAGCATGGTGGGACCTGGTTGGCTTTGGCCTCAGCACCACAGAGGTCCTGAATTTTCACCATCAGCTTTTGACGATAAAGGCGGGATCTCGGGGCTGGAGCACAGCAGGTAGGGCATTTGCCTTGCACGCGGCCAACCCAGGTTCGATTCCCAGCATCCCATATGGTCCCCCAAGCACCGCCAGGAGTAATTCCTGAGTGCAAAGCCAGGAATAACCCCTGAGTATTGCTGAATGTGACCCAAAAAGGAAAAAAAAAGGTGGGATCTCTCCCGAGAGATCCATGGTGGCGTGTGTGTCTACATCCAATCCAATGCAGTGACTTTCCCTCACCCACCTTCTCATCAGGCACCAACATGCATGTGTTTGACCATCATCCAACACATTCATCCACATGACAACCAGTCACGTCATCATGTAACCCCTGTTCTTCCAAGGAGTAAACTGAGATGTGGGGAGGTGCCCAAGGGAGATGTGGGCAGGTGCCCAAGGGGGCAGGCAGGGGTGCAGACCAGCAGGGCTGGCGCCATGCTCTCATTCCATTCTTAAGTGGACCCCGCCAACGGTCATCAGATCGGAGTCATTAGAATCAAAGCTCACAAGTGAATTTTCTGGACGCCAGTTGTCAAACGTGGCTCATTGTCCCTGGTAGCACTGTAGCACTGTCCTCCCGTTGTTCATCGATTTGCTCAAGCGGGCCCAGTAATGTCTCCATCGTGAGACTTGTTGTTACTGTGTTTGGCATATCAAATATGTCACGAGTAGCTTGCCAGGCTCTGCCGTGCGGGCGAGATACTCTCGGTAGCTTGCCGGGATCTCCAAGAGGGGCAGAGGAATCGCGGAGGAATCAAACCCGGCTCGGCCAGCCACACGCAAGGCAAATGCCCTACTGCTGTACTATCACTCCGGCCCTTGCCCCTGGTGACAAAGTAAATTGAATTGCACACGGGACAGACTGGACCCTGCTTCTCCCCCTTTGGGAAACCAGGGTCCACGAGAGACTCACGAGCTCCATCTTGTCCACAGAACTTTGCAGCTGCACTGCCCCGGGCTTGTGACTCATTTTAATACTCAATTACACGGGCACTAATGCCGCTGATGTATCTGTTTCATCTCATCACAAATTACAGAAAATTCACAGGCTTAATCTTTCTTGCTCGCCTATCCAGAGAGAACTATTGGTGTATTGTTAAGCTCCTAGACAAACTATCACTGTTTACTGCCTTCTTAACGAGAGCCAGCCCGACAGTCTGTCACTGGTAAGAATTCAGAATAAACATCGTTGCTTACCGAGATCACTCATAAGAAGCCCCCAGGAGACTGCAATTATACCCATTTATAATTCTCCTACCTCCCAATCTAACCCTTGATTCATGAATGTGCACTTTTAGGCGTCGGGCGTTAGAATAAATTAGACTATACAATTACGTGTAATTAAGGGGGGAAATGGTTTCCGGGCTGCAAAGATTAGTCCTGTTATGCTGAAGTAAAGCATGTCTGTGTCAGCCTGCTGGCCTGGGGAGGCAGCGCAGAGCACAATTAATGGGCTTCTGACTTAATGGGGGTTTATGGTGCTGTTTTTCATTATCACAATATCTCGAGAAATATAAACAGTTCCCCGCTAATGCAACTGCATTTCTCCCGACAGGACAGGTTGGGCCTAAGTGAAAACTCAGCAGAATTAACCGCACATTTATAATGTCATGGATGAGGCTGGGATTTGGGGATTTTTTCTTTTTTCAAACCCTTGCAAAACTGTCCCCATTCGTGAGACTCCGAATTTTGATCCCAGCCCCTTGGGGATGGATACCGCCACCGCGGCTTTTGTTGAGGCAAGTTACAGCCAAACTGTGGGGTTTATTAAAGCCACCTGTGGCCCGGTTCTGAGACACACATTCCCCGGCCTCCTATCGGCAGCCCCGCTTGGACTCTTCATGTTGCTCCTTCGCACGCCAATTTGTTTGAGAGATGTGAAAAGCTCAGCTTTTACGACGCTCATAAAATCCCATCTACGCCAAGCCAAATCCAGCCAGAAGTTGCTGGGACGAGCCGATTGAATTTCAGCCTCTGGATGGGGATAAAGAAACACACAGCAGGAAGGAGTTCTCTTTAATTGTTGCTCGGGAATGGGGGCCAGAGAACCACAGTCTGGCCTTGCAAGGCAGCTCAACCCGACTGTTTTCTGCAGGAAAGGAAATGAGGCACAGAGGTATCCTGAGAAAGGTCCCCCGGAGGTTAAACCAACAAGGGGTGGGGGCAGGAAAAGGGCTGAGCAGCCCGAGAGGCCAGGGGCAGAGGCGCCATCAGCATGATAGAGGACAGAGCAAAGGGCAGACAGGTTGGAGATGCCCAACTGGAGAGCATCCCGAGGGACCGGGAGGGGGGCAGGGGGGCAGACAGAGCCCCTCGGGATGTAGCCCCGGGGTTACGAACATTGAGCTCAAACATTGAGCTCCCTGGTGCCGTCAGAAGCTCCCATTTACCAGGATGGAACTTACACAAAATCTAGGGCCTGAAGCCGGGCATTCTAGAGGAAAGGGCAGCTCAGATAGAAAAGGGAGCACCAAATAAAGGGTGTTTGGAGGATCCTCCCAGGAGGGGAGATGCATGTTGAAAGTAGACTATGGACTGAACATGTTTGCCACTCAATGCCTCTTTTGCAGACCACAACACCCAAAAGGAGAGAGAGAACAAAAGGGAATGCTCTGCCACAGAGGCAGGGTGGGATGGGGGGATGGGTGTGGGAGGGATACTGGGATCCGTGGTGGTGGGAAATGGGCACTGGTGGAGGGATGGGTGTTTGATCATTGTATAATCGAAACCCAAGCACAAAAATTTGTAAATCTACAACTGTACCTCGTGGTGTTTCAAAATAACAACAAAGTCTCCAATGGAGACGTTACTGGGCCCGCTTGAGCAAATCAACGATCAACGGGAGGGCCTTTACCTTTACCTTCAAAATAAAAATTAAAAAAAAAAATCTAGGGCCTGAAACCTACACAGGCGCATGCACTCCCAGAAACACACACACACACACACACACACACACACACACACACACAAACACAGGCACTTACAAGTTCGTGCCCTCCCCCTAATAAGGAGTAAGCCCATGTTTGGCCCACCCAGCCACAGCAGAAAGACTATCCAAGCAGGGCTGCAAAGACAGTGTCACAGGGAAGGCGTTGGCCTTGCACACGGCCAGCCTGGGTTCGATTCCCAGCACCGCCAGGAATGATTCCTGCGTGCATCCCTGAGCATCGCTGGGCGTGAGCACCACACAAACAAAGAATATCCAAAAAGATGATTTGGAGCCACTGTTCCAGGCCTGCCCACAGCCCTGGGTCTGGACTGTGCACTGCTCAGCCGCCTCCCATGACCGGGGGGGGGGGGGGGGGGGTCCTGCTGGGAGGGGAGGGCAGGCAGGACCGCTGCAGGTGGGACCCTCAAAGAAACAGAACTATTGGCACCAGCTGCAGGCCGGAGCTGTTCATATGCTTTTGAACTGGTGGTGGTTGAGATCCCCTCCACCTCTGAAATGCCCTGCAGAGACCTACAGAAAAAAAAAAAGTCCGTAACAGGCAGATCTCATCTCTGTTCACCTTCCCTGGCCCCTTCCCTCCCCTCCCTTCCCCTGCCCTGGCCGTTCTCACCCAGCCCACCCACCTGGGTTTGCAAGGATCCAGGAGGAAACTTGCCCTATCGGGAAGTTCTCACGTGATCTGGCTGCGTCAGAGTCAGGCTGACTTGGTGACACCGTGGATGACTCTGTTCCTTTCTAAGCTTCAGTCCTCGGGGTAGACCGCTAAAAGGATGGCAGGGATGACCAGACGGGAGAGTTGCTGGCGTCACAGACCGTACCAGAGCTGCACTGTCCGTCTAGGACCCCCTGACCCCACGCGGCTGCTGCAAATTAATTGCCCTGGGTACAAGGCACACGGATTCCCCCAGACTTAGTAAGAACAAAAGAATGAATGCCCTAACATCTCGTTAGCAGTGTTTATATGACAAGTCACAGTGATGCTCTGGACACGCTAGGCTCAATAAATGACATTATTGTGAATTTCCTGTTTCTGGAGGCGCTACTTAAAAAGATGTTTGCTTCTGTATCCAACGCCCACCTTTGCTGTAGGCGCCTCAAACATATCACCCTCCTGAGGCAGAAGAAGGGGCCCCCATTATTGGGGGTGGGGGGCTCTGTGATGGTGAAGCCGTCTGATATATTTTTTTCTCTCCAGCCCAACGAGGGCTGAGGATGACTGGTGTCAGCTGTGCCAAAGGTGGGGCGGGAATCCGAGCTGGAAAAGCCAGCTCCAGGTTTTTCTAATTTATCTGGTGTGTAAACTGATCTGGCAAGGATCAGGGGAGGCTAGGCAGAAAATTCTAGAGCCGCCAATCCGGTCAAGACCCCCAACTTGAAGTTCAGATAAACAACAAGGAATGTTTGAGGCCGAGCATAGGCGGCACCGCCTGGGTCTTGACTGATTGAAGAGGACAAGCCTGAGCAGGAGGCTGGACATCCTGATCAGAGAAAGGTGATCCTGCACTAGGGGCTCAGGGGGTTGGGGGGGGGGGGGTGTTGAGAGTCTGGCCCAGAGCCAAGTTTCTCGGGGCGCGTCTGAGATCCACCACTTGGGGTCCGCGCGCGCGGTTCAGGGATGGATGAATGAGCTCTCCGGGACTTGGGTGTTCACATCTGCAAAGTGGACTTGGAAGGCTGCGATTAGGCTGAAACAAGTGACTGGCGCTGCCCACAAGTGCGGGCCTCTTTTTCCCTTAACAACTCAGTCGTTTTCGGCTGCTACTGGTGGGTTTTCTCTGGGCCCACCCGGGCAGCCCCAGCCCCTTCGGCCGGCGCTGGGCACGTAGAAACCACGGACCACAGCACCACCTGGAGTCCAATTCCTCCTCTCGGGCGCGAAGCCGGTTCGTCCTTTCTTTTCCTACTCCGGCACCTTTTCTGGGCATAGGCTGCCGTTTTTTCACTTGAGCTCAAGTGAATGTCTCGAGAAGCTTCCGGAGCGCGTGAGCAGGTCCCGAGCGCGTGGGCCCCTCGCCCGGCGACCTCGCGGGGGACTGGGGCGGCCGCCAGCGTCCACCCGGAACGCGGGGCTGGAGGCAGCGAGGAGCTCCTTTGGCTGGCTCTGGGCAAAGGCAACGGGCGCTTGCAGCGCCCGGCGAGCTCTGCCGAGAGCAGATAAAAAAGAAAACATTTATTAACGTGTCGTGGCGAGGGGAGCGCGCGCGCGGCCCGGGGCCGCTGCACGCCCCGCGGAACGCTGGGCTCCTGCCAGCCCCGAGGGAGGAGGAGGAGGAGGAGGAGGAGCGGCCGCAAGAGGCGAGGATTCTCCGCGCCTCTAGCCAAGTGGACCTGATCGATGGCCCTCCAGACTTCAGCGCGAGCTGTGATTTATTAGCGCTGGCCCGGGCTCTGCTCCGCGCGCGCACACACACACACACACGCACACACGCGCGCACACACGCACACGCCTCGGGCGGGCGTCCCTCCCTCCCCTCCAGCTCCCCGGCGAACCCCACAGCTGTTTCAACTCTCCGCCCGCCGAGTGCGCGTCTGGGTCCCGGCGGGGGTGCGCGCTCGGCGCCGGGAGCGCGGCCAGCCGGGTCCCGAGGCGCCCGGAGACCGAGAGCCGCCCGGACCCCCCGCGCGCTTCTCGCCGCTGCCCGCTCCGGGGCCGGACTGCGGGGGCCGGCGGCGCGCGCCGGGCACCGCCGGGCACCGCCGGGGACCGCCGGGCCGCGCGTCCATCGAGCCGAAGGTAAAACGCCGGCGCGCTGGGGGGGGTCGCGCGGGGCGGGTCCCCCCCACCCCCCTCGCCCGGGCCTGGCGCTCGCCGCCCGCCCTCCACCCCCCACCCCCAGCGTCCCGGCCGGGCCGTGCGGAGCCCCGGGGCCGGCGCGGGGGGCCGGGCTGGGCGAGGGGAGCGCGGCCCGGCGGGGCGCGGACCCGGACTTTGGCAAGGGCGGCGCGCCGGGGCGGAGGCGGGCGCGGGCGGGGACGAGCCCCGGGATGCAGCGGCGGCGGCGGCGGCGAGTCCCCCCCGGTGCCCCGAGGCCGGGCCGGGCTGCGGCAGAGGAGGCGGCTGCGCCCCGCGCGGGGTGAGGCCGCCGGGGCCCGGGGCGCGGGGCGCGGGGCGCAGGGGGCGGGGCGGAGGCGCCCCACGGCCGGGCCGAGCCGGGCCCGAGCGCCGCCCAGGTGAGCCGCGGCCGCGGGGTTTGTGCCCGGAGGGAGGCGCGGGCGGGCCGGTCCCCTGGACCTGGCGGCGGGCCCCGGCGCGGGGCAGCGGGTGCGCGCGGGGCCGGCCTGGCTGACCCCTCCGAGTTTACACCCGGCGGGCGGCCGCGAGCCAGACCACGTGGGGGCTTGTCCGGGCAGGACACGCGAGCGCGGTGGACCGGATCTTCAGGCGACTCGCCGATTCCCCAAAGGGCAAACGGGATGGAGCCGGCAAACTTCCGCCCGGCCGGGCCAAACCCAGTTCCCGTCGCCTGGAGAGACCCCCGCCGCGACTCCCGGTGGCGGGGGTCGGTGCGGGGGGGGCGCGGGGCGTCCTGGCCGAGGGCCCGCGGCGGCCAACATTCCCATCTGGTGTTCATTCATTCTCTCCGCCCGCCTCGGCGGAGCTCTTCTCGGCCAGGTGCGGCGGGGTGTGTCCTGGGGAAACTGAGTCGGCCGGTCCCCCGGAGGGCAGCCCCGGAAAGAGGGGTCGGAGTGCGGAAACGCCCGGAGCCCGCACGGCCTCGCCGCCGTGCGCCGTGACGCGGCGTTTCCCCCACCCGCCCTGCACCGTGACCCCGCATTCCCCCACCGGCCCCAGGCCAGGACACGCCCCCTGCACAGCGGGACCCTCCTTGGGGCCCTCCCGGCCCCTCTGGCCCCCTGCTCTAAGTTCTCATTCATTCCCTGCCCCCCTCCCCTCTCAGGACAGCCTTTGCTGCAGCTTGTTTTAATCACTTTTTGAGTTAAAAGTCAATATTTAATTCACCGAGTAATTACATTCAGCTTACGTTTGAATCTGGGTATTTGCACATCTGTGCTTGTCAGGACAGTGGCCCCCAGCCCCCCATCTGTCCCCCGCTGCTTCTGCAGTGCCCGCACTCACCCTCCTGGGGGAGGGAAGGGCCTTTTGTCCAGCAGCTTCTGGGTCCCAGAAGACCCTGAGTGCCCCTGAGCGGGGGGTCCTCCCTCACTCTCCTGCCGAGGGGTGCAGGGGCTTCTCTGCATCTTCCCTCCTCATCCCAGCCCACCAGAGGGTTTCTTGAAGTCAGTCCAGAAAGGGAGAAGGCAGACCCCAGGTCACTCACTGTCCCGCGCTGTGTGTCCCTGTGGATTCACCGAGGGGATGCTCTTCCGTCCCCCATGGGGGTTTGTCTCCTGGGCGCAGGAAGGGCCCGGCTGCTTCTGACAGGTCTGCTTTCTGTGCATCACGCCGGGCTGGATCCCTGCCTGGCCTGAGCGAGTGCAGTGTGGGTTCCGGCTTTGGGCTGAGTGTATGTTTATTGGATTTTTTTATTTGAATCTGCGGCTTTTTCTGAAACCCTAATAACATGTTAAGTTTTCAAACTTAAGGGCTGAACGGAGAGATGTAAAATGGTTGTAAAAAAGCCTGAACTTGGAGAAGGACTGTGCGGAGGTGTGGGTGGCGGGTGTGTGTGTGTGTGGTGTGCGTGTGAGTGCACCTGTGCGTGTGTACACCTGTGCATGTGTGTGCATGTGTTCACCTATGCGTGTGTACGCACCCGTGCTTGTGCACCCCCATGCATGTGTGTGCCCCTGTGTGTGCATCTGCATGTGTGTGCATGTGTGCACTTGTGCATGTGTGTGCACCTGTGTGTGTACTTGTGCATGTGTGTGCACTTGTACGTGTACACACCTGTGCGTGTGTTGGCACCCGTGCCCATGTCACCTGTCATGTGTGCTCCTGTGCATGTGTGTATGTGTGCACCTGTGCATGTGTGCAACTGTGTGCGCGTGTGTGCATGTGTGTACTCATGCCTGTGCCCATGCATGTGTGTATTACCACCTGCTCCCCTCCGCTGCTCCCTCTCACCCCGTCCTAAGGCGCTGGCTGCTGTCCACCACATACCCCCTGGAAGGCCGCCTTCAGATGTGGGGGTGACGCTCCCTGGCGCTGGCCCATTTCTCTCTTAGGATCTGCCTCAAGGAGGACTGCCTCTGGTCCCCCCTCTGACAGTCGGAGAGCCACCCCCAGGCTAGGAGTGACACGCTTCTCCTGCTCACCGCTCAGTGCAGACACAGGCCGGGACGGCGGACAGCGTCCACAGTGTGTCAGGTGGAGGGGCTGGGCCCTGCTCTCCCGCCCTCGGCACCACAGCTCTTGGGCTCATCCCCAAGGCCTGTGCAGAGGTCCTGTTCTGGAGGAAACTGAGGCACAGAGGGACTGGGGCTTTGTCAGCTGCTGGTCAGTGGCTCTGGGGTCCACTCTGACCTTGGCCTTTATCAGAAGTGCAGGCCCGGCAGGGAGGAGGAGCCCTTGGCAGTGCCGTGTCTCTCCTCTGACCTTGCTTGTGGGGGCCTCTGGGGTTTGGCTTTTGTTTCGAAGGGATTGTTCTGAGGAAGACGTGTCTGCGGGGTGGCCGTCCCTCCCCCCCGCCCCCAAACGCAAACACTCGCCTCGGTCCGTGCGGAGGAAGGAGCAGGCCTGAGAGAGCTGCGGGGGGGCACCCACCTGCAGCCCCTCAGGAGGGGCAAACCCTGTGGGGAAACTCTGCTGGCGGGATGGTTCAGGGCCCGGGGCAGGGGCACGGCCTCTCCCTGCCAACCCACAGCCCACGGAGGCTCCCCGGGCTGCCGTCCAGCGGCCACCTCCTGACAGACGCTGGTGGGGAACCCGCAAGGCCCCTCATCCGGATTCCAGGCGTACCTAATTGGAAGATCATTAAGATCATTATAATTAATTGGCATCCTGATAAATGGCGTGATTGCCTAATTGGGTGGTTGCTAGGGAACCAGGCCTCATTTGGAGTTGCCAGGGGCAGAGGCGTTGGGCTGGTCGCTGGGGGGGTGTTGGGGTAACAGACCCGGCAGGTAAGCGTGGGCAGGAGGGTTCACGGGGCAACCACCCAGTTGCGGTGGCTGTCCCCAGAGTGACCCGTGGGGTGGCAGCAAGAACCCTGGTCATCGGGGTCTTCTTGGTCAGCAACACAGAAGGCAAAAGACAGGAACCAGCTGGCAGCCGCCACCCTGCATGGAAAGGTCCCCCTGCCTCGGGCCAGCTAGGTCCCCGTTGAGGGTGGCGGGTTCCTGGCCCTGGTTCTGCAGGCGGTGGGACCGTGCAGATGCATGGACATTGGTCCCTACCTGGGAGTTCACCTCACCGGCTCACTGCCAGCTGCCAGTTGCCCACTCGGTGCCTGGGAGCATGTCCTCTCTTTCCAGGGGCTCCGGCTCTCCCCAGCTGCCTCAGAGGCAGCTGGTCCCTTCAGGAATGAGGCTGTGGACAGCTTGTGTTGGACACGGGTGCCCTGGTCCCACGGCTGCTCACGCCATTGAGGGATCTGCCCGGGAGCTGGCCTCTCGGTGCAGGGCTGACAGGAAGGAACGGCCTTGTGCCTGCGATGCCCACTCAGACCCGCCTCCCGCAGCCTGGATCTCGTTAACACTTCCCAAACCACTTATTCACCCCATCCGGAACTGGGGGGCCCCCTGGGCTGAGACCCCGAAATCCAGAAGGACACGCGTGGGCACCCAAGAGAAAGGACAGTGAGTTCCTGGGAAGGCAGGAGAGTCCCCATGAAGGACGGTGAGGGGGTCTTCTCTATCAGGCGCAGGGGTTTCCCCTCCCTGCCCACTGAGCTCAGCGTCCAGGGAGAACCAACTCCCCCCTTCCTGCCCTCCAGCCTGTACTTCCCGGGAGCGGGGAACAGGGCTTGGAGGACCCTCACGATCGGCTGCAGAGCCCAGCCCCAGGTGGGGGTCCTGATGCTGGCTGTGCCCGGCTCTATCCCCGCAGAGCCATTTGGAAAGAGGATACTGGTCTGTGTGCTGCTCTGAGGGCTGCCCGAAGGCCCTGTGGGGGCCCAGGAGACCGCCTTGCTGGTGGGTGTGTCGGGAAACTGTTGCGTGAGCCCCACACTGTGGTGGCGTCAGGGTGAACTGGATGGGGGCACCCCGCTTTCCCGGAATGCATAGTCAAAGGATGAGTAGGGTGCAAACAGCGCTTTGAGCAACAGCTGCATCTTGAGGGTGAGCTGGCCTTGGGAAGAGCCGGGGAAGAACATTCCAGAAAGGAGGGCAGGCCAAGGCTAGGGACGGATTGTTCCCGAATCGATCACAGGGCTGGGGAATGGGCTCAGTGGTCAGGGCGTGTGCCTGGCCTGCACAGGGACCCAAGTGTGGCCCTGCCCCCAAGTCCTCCAGGACATCTCCCTGGAAGCCCCCAGCTCAGCTGAACCACAGATTGAACCATTTTCCCCGGGGTGGTCCCTAGACGCCACTGAGCATAACTGGGGCATTTCGCCAAAACAAAACACACAAAGCTGCAATATGGTGCTGCAGGGGGCTGCAGAGGAGGGCAGGTCTCACCTGTGCAAACAAACAGGTGACCAAGGGAATCTGCTGGGAGCTGCTGTGGTGTCTTGGAGCAGAGCCGGGGTTCTCTGTGTTGCTGGGTGCTCAGAAGGCGGGAGTGGGTGGGTGCTGCAGGTACAGAGTGTGTGGGGTCAAACTTCCTCCAGGACATGGGGTGGTCCCCAGCAGGGAAGGGTCAGCAGGGACCTAGCAGATGGGAGAGCAGGGGTGTGGAGTGATGGGAGAACAGGGGTACGAGATGATGGGGAGCAGGGGTGCGGGGTGATGGGAGAGCAGGGGTGCAGGGATGACGGGAAGCAGTGGTGCAAGATGATGGTAGTACGGGGTGATGGGAGAACAGGAATGTGGGGATGACGGGAGCAGGGGTGTGGGGTGAGGGAAAGCAGGGGTGCAGAGTGACGGGATGAGGGGGAGCAGGGGTTCAGGGTGATAGGAGAATAGGGGTGTGAGGTGATGGTAGTGCGGGGTGATGGGTGATGAGAGAACAGGGGTATGGGGATGATGACGGGGAGCAGGGGTGCGGGGTGGCGGGAGAGCAGGAGTGCAGGGATGACGGGAAGCAGGGGTGCAAGGTGATAGTTAGTGCAGGGTGATGGGAGAACAGGGGTGTGGAGTGACGGGGAGCTGGGGTGCGGGGTGAGGGGAGAGCAGGGGTGCGGGGTGACAGGAGAGCAGGAGTGCACGGTGATGGTAGCGCAGGGATGATGGGGAGCAGGGGTGTGGAATGATGGGAGAACAGGGGTGTGGAGTGACGGGATGAGGGGGAGCAGGGATTCGGGGTGATGGGAGAGCAAGGGTGCGAGGTGATGGTAGTGCGGGGTGACAGGAGAGGAGGGGTGACGGGAGACCCAGCTCTGAGCAGTGGGAAATGCTGGGTCTGCAGGACACTGGACCCCAAGGCCTCTGAGCTCAGGGCTCCCCGGCGCTGACCTGGGCAGGCCGCCTAAATGTGGGCAGCGTGGGCACAGCCGTGCTATTTTCAGCCGTGGGACTGGCCCCGAGCATCCCGGGAGCATGGGTTTTGTTCTCCGGTGTGGTTTTCTTCCTCCTGGGTGCCATGAATCTATTTGATGAATATTTTTAGCACGTCCCGCATACTCAATTCTGCTCGGTGCTCCTGAAGTTTCCAAGGGCGCGGGCCCCGTGGCTCACGGATGCAGGCTGGAGGAAAGAGTCCGCCGTCCATAACCCAGGCACATCCTCGGGAAGTCACTTGAGGTCACGCAGCACCTGACCCCGCTGGCCGCCCCGGGCCTGTTTGGTAAATGAGCCGTTGGAGGGAGCTTTGAAACTTCTGCTCCAGCCCAGACTCAGACGGGGTGGAATGCTCTTGAACCGGAGACCACCACTGGTTTGAATTCTCCATGGTCCCTTCACGGGATTCCAGAACACTCACCGCTCAGTAGCCCCGGCTTCTGGTGTGCAGCTCTGTCTGCTGAAAGGCCAGGCCCCCGTGCACATCTGGGCTCGGCCGCAAACTGGGATCAATTATATCCCCCGCTCCCAGTCGTCAGGAGCGGGCCCGAGTGTGTGTGCTGGCGGGCAACTCCATCCCCGGGGACCCTCCGCGCTCCCCCAGAAATGTTTGGCCAGGTGGGAGCCAGATGTGTTCGGACATGGCTGTATGGCCCAGCCGCCCCGTTGGCTCCCGGTCAGGAGCCCAGCGGGTGACGTGACCCACCTCAGCGACCAGAGAGGGTTTATTTTCCAAGACCTCCAGGAGCATGACTAGTCTGCAGCCGGCAGGCTGGGCCTTGAATGCTCTGGTGAAAAATCAGGTCACCCCAAAGCTGCAGCGCTGGCCTGCTTTAGTGACAGACCCTGTCCACAGACTTCTAAATACCAGGCCGCTTCTCCGGACATTTCAGACGACAGGGCAGAGGCCCGCTAGGATTCTGACAGGCTTGAAGTCCTCGTGATTGGCGTGTAAATCAAGATGAATTCACTGCGAGGAGCAGAAAACCTGGCTCTGCGTAGCTTTTGCAGTCAGGACATTTAATTCTTGTAACAAGAGTCCAAAATGGGAGAGTCCAGGGGTCAGTTTGCCGGTAAAATGATGTCATCAGGGACCCAGGATCTTCCAGGGCTGTTGGCTGTGCTCTGCGTGTCTTTGACCATGTTGTTTCGTGGGCTCAGAGTGGGTGCTGCTGCTCCAGACATTGCATTCTTGTTCAAAGCAATATTAAAAGAAAGAAGTCATCTCCCTTTTAATCAGAAAACGGAGTCCTTCCAAGGACTCCTCTACCTCACCCGAATTTGCTTTCTCCCTCATGGCGTTAGATTTTGTCCTCGCCTTTCCACCAAATACCGGCCAACGGAAGTGGACTTTTCATGTTTGACTCGGCTTAGTGGCTCCCCAAATCAGCATATCAAACACCCTCTTCTGAGAGCAAATATTTCTGCCACGCTCCCCTGGAACAAATCCCTGGATCATGTCATCTCTCTACACCTTTTTATTTTTTTCAATCAATCACCCTCGCTGTGCTTCAAAGGGAAACTGAACTGGGACATGAGTCGGGGGAAACCGGTTAACGGCACCACCCAGTGTTCAGACGGAATCGTGAGAACATCGCGTGAAATCGGAGGCTGGGGATCTGGGGGTGCCTGGGCTGCCCCCGTGCAGAATGGTCCTCAGCAGAG